CAATGCTCTTTGATGGTTACCTTGGATGGTGGGGAGAGACACAATTTCTAGACAGCATACATTTGTTATTCTGGGTGATGGGAAAGATAATGCCAAATATGAACATAGGTGAAGTCAGTCCAACCTAAAGATAAATAAACTAAAATAATTTTCATAAATTCTCTAACATACATAATTTTGCAACAACAAAAACAAAAGTGTTTGGGGGGTAGGTATGTGTGTGTGTGGACATGACAGATATGGATGCATAAGTGTGTGTAGAAAGGGATATGTGAGTAAAATTATGTGCAATTATATCTGTAGGAATAGGTATATATACACACTTGCCGGTGCTACATATACAAGGAGGTTTCAAACAATTTGTCGGGAAAAAAATTAAGAGATAATAGAATTTTTCATTGAATTTTTTTGCATTGGATATATATATGCATATCCATATAAATAAAACAAAACCCAAAGGAGAAGGGATGCATTTATGGAGGATTCCTAGACATATGCCAACAACTTGCAGGGTTGCTTTACTGAGCTAAGCCACTTAGGAACAATCTCTGAGGAAACTTAACCAACTAGCACAACATAGTTCATCATAAAGATAATGTTCTACATCTTTTTTTTTTTTTGACCAATGACCTCAGGTTTTTATTGACCACTCTTTCCTCGGGGTACCCCGGGTCTGCGGCCTCACCGTCTCAGAATTTTGGTGTCGTTGAACTCAGACACCACTTTGCCATCCAAGATCTTGTGGGTGCTTATCTTGTGGATGGTCTGCATGGAGTTGCTGCTGTCCAGGGCATCGACCAGATTGAAGTCCTCCCCATCTTCCAGCAGCTGGCGGTAGGTTGGTGATCTCAGCCTCCAGTTTGACCTTGATGTTCAGCAGGGCCTCATACTCCTGGGCCTGGCGTTGTCCCTCTGCCCGGGTCTGTGCCAGCTCTGACTGCAGGTGCATCAGGACCCCATTGAGCTGCTCCATCTGCATGGCGTAACAGGCCTCCATCTCCCGCAGGTTGTCCTCCACGCTGGTCTTCATATTTCTCATGGAGTCCAGTTCAATCTCCAGGGACTGGACTGTACGGCTCAGCTCCTGGAGCGTCGTCTCAGCACCCCGGATCTCAGCAGACTGAGTGGTGACCATGGTGGGGCTCTCCTCTATCTGCTGGGACCAGTACTTGTCCAGCTCTTCTTGGTTCTTCTGGGCCAGCTCTTCATACTGGGCCCGGATGTCTGCCATGATCTTGCTGAGGTCCTGCGCCTTGGGGGCATCCACCTCCACAGTCAGTCCGGAGTTGGCAATCTAGGCCTGCAGGCCCTTTACTTTCTCCTCATGGTTCTTCATGAAGAGCAGCTCCTCCTTGAGAGCCTCGATCTCCGTTTCTAGCTGCAGCCGAGTGACATTGGTGTCATCGATGACCTTGCGGAGCCCGTGGATGTCATTCTCCACAGACTGGCGCATAGTCAGCTCTGTCTCATACTTGACTCTGAAGTCATCAGCGGCCAGCTGGGCACTGTCAATCTGCAGAATGATGCGGGCATGTCCCCAGAATTGGCAAAGATCTGCACCCTCAGCTCCTCGATGGTCTTGAGGCAATGGCTCCAGTCCCTGACCCGAGGTGCATTCTTGTCCACGTGCTCCCGGATCTTGTCTTCCAGCCTCCGATTTTCAGTCTCCGGGCTCCGCACTCTCTCCAGGTAGGAGGCCAGGCGATCGTTCGGGTCTTGCATGGTCTCCTTCTCCCTACGGATGCCC